AGTGCCCCTATGCATCAGCACTCCTGTATCCCTCGGGTAAATTCCTAGCAGTGCTATTGCTGGGTCATAGGGTGGATCTATTTTTAATTTTTTTGAGGAACCTCCACACTGTTTTCCAGAGCGGCTGCACCAGTTTGCATTCCCACCAACAGTGCAAGAGGGTTCCCGTTTCTCCACATGCTTGCCAGCATCTATAGTCTCCTGATTTGTTCATTTTAGCCACTCCGATCAGGGTTAGGTGATATCTCAGTGTGGTTTTGATTTGTATTTCCCCGATGAGGAGTGATGTTGAGCATCGTTTCATGTGCCTGTTGGGCATCTGGATGTCTTCTTTAGAAAAGTGTCTATTCATGACTTCTGCCTATTTCTTCACCGGATTATGCCTAGCACATAACAGGCTCTCAATTAATGCAAGTTGTCCCTGTGAATGACTACAAAACCTCATCTGAGCTTCCTAGCAGCCAAGGCAAAAATCAAAGGGTTGAAACTCAGATCTGGGACCTCCACCCTGCCCCCGGGCCAGTATTCTCTTCCTTACCTGCTGCTCAGTCTTCGGCTACCTAGTGAATACCTACTACATGCCAAGCTCTGCCATGGGCTAAGCTGCCCACAGTGGGCCTGACTCCAGTCCCCCCCTTCCCCCCACTCCAGGAGGCCTAGAGATGGAGCGTTTACAGTACATCCATCGGAACGAGACGGTGTCCCAGCAGATCGGGAAGAATGTGTACTATGCAGCACCTCTGTCCATCTGGTGGCAGGTCCCTCAGTACCTGCTCATCGGGATCAGTGAGATTTTTGCCAGTATCCCAGGTACGCTGGACCCTCCCCCTGCTCTCGCACCAGTGATGGGCTCTGCCTGGTGCTGCCTCGAGCCAAGTCAGCGGCCTCACGGCCACAGCTTCTCGGGTTCGTGCGGGTGGAGGAAGGCCAGGTTCCCTAAGTGGGGCTGCCTTCACCCAGTGGGGACTTCCCAGCACCTGGTTTGTGCCGGGCACCGTGATGGGCACTGCAGATTTGGAGGGGATTAAGACGCTCCTGTAAGGACTTCCCACACAGTCCCTGGTGCCGTCCGTGTTCCTCATCCCCCGGGTCTGCGCATTTGCTGTTCCCTCTGCCTCAGGTTCACAGTGAACAACCATTTCCCCTTCCCTTCTGAGCCTAAATGCCAGTTTCTCCGTATGGCCTTTTCCGAGGCCCCCGGGCAGAGGGAGTCGTTCTCTCCTCCTGTTGCCAATGTCTGTCCCGGCACACGGGGTGCTGCGTTGTCAGAAAGGCAGCACGTGTTTGTCTCCCCGGCCGGGCTGTGAGCCAGAGCCGTAGGGTGGGCGTGGGCTCTTCACTCAGCCAGGGAGCAGCTTACTCAGCTGCCGGCCAGGGCTAGGCTCGGGGGGGACTCAGAATTGGGAGGCATCACCCAGACGGTAAACCCAGTGGAGGACTGTGGAAGGGACTCTAGGGTGTTGGGAAAGCCCAGGGACGAGGTGGGGAGGAGGCAGGTGGGCAGCGGGGGCAGGACTCAGCAGGTGGCAGGAAGGAGGTCACAGGCAGGGGAACAGCATTGGCAAAGAGCTGAGCTTTGTGGGGAGTGTCCGGAAGGCTGGCAGGTGCAGGGCCAAACCTGGATGTTGAAGTTTCTCCTGGGGGCCATAGTCTCACACACACCCCCCCAGTGTAGACTTTGGCAGGGAAAGGATCCCATTAGACGTGTTTTAGACCCATCTGGGTGTGTGAGGAGGAAGGCAGGAGGCAGGGGAGTTTAAGAGGCATTTGCAGAGGCTGGGCAGGAAATAGCCGCGCCCGCAGTTTGGTCCAGGGCAGAGGGAAGAGGAGGAGGGGAGACAGAGCAATGTGGGGGCGTTCAGGTGGAGGGGAACAGACGGGCAGGGCGGAGGCAAGGGGTCGGTGGTGCATGGGTGTCGTCCTAGCCACGTAGTGGGCGGTCCTGCCAGGGAGGCCAGGGTGGGGGCTTGTTGAGTGTGGGCCGGAGGCCTCGGACCCCGTCTCTGCCTCTCCACCAGCCTGATCCCGCCCCCCCTCTGCAGGCCTGGAGTTTGCCTACTCGGAGGCTCCTCGCTCCATGCAGGGTGCCATCATGGGCATCTTCTTCTGCCTGTCAGGAGTGGGCTCACTCTTGGGCTCCAGCCTCGTGGCACTCCTGTCACTGCCAGGGGGCTGGCTGTACTGCCCCAAGGACTTCGGTGAGTGTGGGGCCCTCCCTGGGGGTGGGAGGCTCAGAAGGGTCGTGGCAGCTGCTAAGTGCCTTGACCCCGGGCAGAATGAAAATTCTCAGGCTGGACTCGGGAGAACCGGGTTCTAGCCCAGACTTGGCCAGTCGCCCACAGTGTGGCTTCCCCACGTTGGGCCTCAGTTTCCCTAACTGTCAAAAAGGAACCCGTGTACTCAGCAGGCCTCCAAGGCTCCTTCCTGCATCTGGAAGTCTGTCATTCTGGTTGAAGGGCCACCTTTCCCTGTTGTGTTGGTGTTTGAAGCCCCGTAAAGAATAGCTAGCGACCAGGGAGTTACAGAAGCCACAGGAAACAGGCCAGATGCTAGAGGGCTGTCTGCCCGCCCACTGCCCACACCTTCTCAGCGGCCAGTCCCAGGGGAGCCCTGCCCGACCCAACCCAAATGCCAACCCCTCCTTTTCCCCAGGGAACATCAACAATTGCCGAATGGACCTCTACTTTTTCCTCCTGGCCAGCATTCAGGCCGCCACGGCCCTCCTGTTTATCTGGATCGCTGGTCGCTACGAGAGGGCAGCTCAGGGCCCCGTCTCTCAAAGCTGTCCCAGCAGGGATAGGGGCTGAGCACACCGCCCCCCTCCCCCCCGACCCCTCGCTTCTCTCCCCAGGACACAGACAGCAGCAGTCCCAGGTGGGGGTTCCTTGAGTTTATTCTGTACCCGACATTAGGATGAAATGGTTCCCATAAATAAGGGGCATAAGCCCTTCCTCACGAGCATGGTCCATGATGGGGGGGGCAGGGCAGAGGGGGCCTGGGTGGGAGTCCATTCGAGTGACCAGGCGGGGGACTTGGATCAGTGAGCACCAGAGGGTGGGCAGGAGGCTGCCGGGGCTGGCGGCCGATGGTGCTGGGCCGGGCAGGCCGGGCAGGCGGGGAGGGGTCAGGAGCTGCCCCGGATCCTCTCCATGTAGCTGCGCAGCTCCTCGGGGTCCTTCAGTCCCATGTCCTCACATACCCAGCGGATGTCCTCCTCGCCGGCCACCAGGATGGACTGCACGGCAGGGGCCCCCACAGGCTCCTCAGGCGGCTGGGCTGGGGGGGCTGGTGCAAACGTCACAAACTCCACGCGCTTCCGCCGCCCCCCGGCTTCCTTCCGGGCCAGGGTGCTCGAGGAGCCGGCGGTGGCCCCGGCGGGGGCCTGGGCCAGGGTCAGGGCCTCCCCTCCTCCCCCACTCTCGCAGGGGCAGCCCCCCTCCCCCTTGGGCAGGCCGGGGGACTGCCGGTCCAGCTGGCGGCTCAGTTCCTCCTGGTCAGTGCCCAGCCAGACCCAGTTGTGGGGCTGGGGGGAGGCGGGGTCGGTGGCGCCGTCGGGGGGCTCCTTGCGCTGGTAGCGCAGCACGAAGACCACACCATTGACCAGGAAGATGAGGATGGCCAGACAGAAGATGCCCAGCAGAGCGTACATGCCCAGCTCTAGGTCGGTGACCCGCTGAGGGGCGGGAACCATCTCCTCCGCTTCCTCCTCCTCCTCCTCCCCTCCAGCCTCCTCCTCTGCCGGCTCAAACTTGCCCCTCATGCCCCCCCTGTCCCCAACACCGCCCGCCTCCCATCGTTTACGGCCCGTGCTGGCCTCTGTGGCTGGAGAGCTCCGGGCAGGGCTGGATGGGAGGGCGGGGGCCAGGGTGGGAGCAGGGGGCAGCCCCAGCCAGGCGGTGCCGGAGGCCAGCGGCACACGGTGGCGGCCCCGGCGGCAGGGCTCCGGCGGGTGCAGAGCCACATGCAGGGGCAGCCCCTCGGCACCCGCCCCACTCACCACCACCCCGAGCAGGGCGCCCCGCTCCTCGGCTGGCAGGATGGCACCGGGCTCCTCAGCTGAGACAGACAGTCCCAGGTCACGGTGGTCGTAGAGCTCAGCGGGGGCCAGGGTGCGGTCAGAGAAGGACAGCCAAAGGGAGAGGGCCACCTCCTGTGGGGCACACGGACACAGGCAGAGACATGCGAGGGCACGCACGCATGCACACAGAGACCACTCCCACAGAGACAGGCCACACGGAGGAGAGATCAGAGAGAAAACAGACACAGGCAAATGGACAAAACACAGGGAGAGAGGGGACGTGCGTCAATCACCTGTCTGCCACTCAGCCCTGGGGTCTGAGTCATCGGGAGGGTCCTCAGAGCCATCTAATCAACCTCCCACTGCCACACTCCAGCCAGCCACTGCTTGGTCACCTCCAGCTGCAGAGAGCTCACTACCTTATAGGGCAGTCAGACCTCATTCTGAAAATGCTAAGGTGAGGGGTCCAGGTACCTCCCACCCCCCTGTCATTAGCCCCCATCTGGAGATGTTGACCTCATCCCCCTGACCCCCAGCTGTCACCTGCTTTGGGGCGGGAAAGGCTGACTGTGCCCAGCACGTGGCTGTGACCTCCCCGGGGTGGGCAGTGCCTCGGCTCAGGGCCAGTGAGATGCCCATCACCGGCTGCACCCGCAGCTCCAGCACCGAGACCTTGTCATCCGTCACGGCCAATGCCTGCTCCCCCAGGATGGAGTCAGACAGTGGGGAACGCACCTGAGGGTGAGAGGGAGCTACAAGTTGTGGGGGGTGGTAGGTACACAGACAGGTCTGAGTCCGCCCTGGGCCCAGCATCTGCACGGGCTGCTTTTCCCCACCCTTTGCACCCCATATGCCCTACACATACCTGGACCCCAATCCCATGCCCAGGGACAGTTTCCTCCTCCAAGACCTGGCCCCCACATACCCACCCCCAGCCCTTCATTCTTGGAGGATATCCCCCATTACAGGGCCACCCTATTCTCCCCCAGCCCCCAATCCCACTGGGCTCATACCTGCCCATGAACACTCCCGGGGCCACCTCCACCCTCGCCAGGGGGTCTGCTCACCTCGATGGAGGTGACACCGGGCTCCCGGCCTACCAGGACGCGTCCGCCCTCCAGTGAGGCTACACGCGGGTCCTGCACGCGCGCGTGCGGCGCCACGAGGTGGGACACGTCCAGCAGCCAATCGGGGCCGAGCAGGTGGGTGAGGCGGCGGCCGCCGTCCAGCGGATGGGCCGCAAAGGGGACAAGGAAGCGCACGCCTGCGCGCTGGTACTGCAGGCGGCAGCCTCGGGCGCGCCGCTCCGCCTCCTCTGCAACCGCTGGAGCATCGGGCTCCGGCACCCTGTGGGGAGGGGAGGGCCCGGGGGCGGGGCGTCAGCTTGGGCTCCGCCCCCAGCCTCTGAGGCCCCGCCCACGCGAGAGCAAGAGCGAGAGCGAGAGACACACACACACACACTGGTGGCACCATTCCTCGAGCACAGCCACACTTCTACCCGCTGGCGAGGCGCCACAACCCCGTTTCTAACTGGTGCCTGTGCCTGTCCATCAAGCCACTCTTGCCCTCTTGCTCCTAACTGGAACTCTTGGCTCCTGGGGAGGCGAGGAGGAGCCTCACCTTTGGCTCTGGCGGGACTCTCAGTATTCACCGAGCTAGGGGCCATCTCAGGCTTTGAGGACACAACAGTGAACGGGCTAGACAAAAACCTTTGCCTTCAAGTCTTAACAATCGCGGGGAGGAGCGTGAAGGGGGTGGACAGACCGCAAACAGATGAACAAGGTTCTACAGTCATTAGAAAGTGATAAATACTTCAGAGAAGTGAGGCGTGGAAGGGGGAGAGGGAGGCAGGGAGGGTGAAGGTCTGCAACTACAAATGAAGTGGTCAGAGGCTGGGTGGTGAAAGGCGGGTGGGTAGGAGGAACCGGAAGCAACCGGGTAGTTTTTTAGA